AGAGGACAGTGGGGGTAGCTTTGGAAGCCCGGGAAGCCGAAAGCTGCTCCACGCCCACTGCCGGCTTTTGGCTTCCCAGGCTTCCAAACTCCCTCCACTGCCCTCTGTCTCCCATCCCCGTTGCTCTCTGCCTCCTGTCCCCCTCCTCAGGGACTGGAGGCAGAGGGCAGCAGAGGGGATTTGGAAACCCATCCAGAGTGGGGTAATATGATGGAATCTTTTCGCCCCAGTTAGTAACCTGGCCGCCATATTCTGGACCATTTGAAGCTTCCGCATCAATCTTGAAGCCCCGCCTAGAGAGTGTTACAGTAGTCTAATCTCGAGACTACAAGCACATGGACAAGTGTGGTGAGTGCCCCAACATCAAGATAGGGACGCAGCTGGGCAATCCGCCATAGATCTAAATGGGCGGAGCGAACCACAGATGCTACCTGGGTCTCCATGGTAAGAGTTGGGTCAAGATGAACTCCCAGAATGCAAACCACACTCTTTGTGGTAAGAGGCCCCCCCCCCCCAAAAAAAGAGAGGAAATTCATGCCAGGAGCACAAACCCTCAAGATCTCCTTCATGAACCTCAGTCCACTCAAATGCATCCATTACAGAACGGCCCCCAGGCACCACTCAAGAGACATAACGGCATCCACTGCAGATAGAAAAAAATTGATGTAGAGCTAAGTATCGTCAGCATACTGGTGACATGACGCTCCACACCCCCGGATGACCCCGCCTAGCAGCTTCATATAGATATTAAAACAGCATTGGAGAGATGATCAAACTCTGTGGAACCCCATAATTGAGGAACCATGGGTCTGATACATTCTCTTCAAGCTGTACTCTCTGGGGACAACTCTCCAAGACTGGAGCCAAGCAAAATCACTGACCTCCAACTCGGAGAGCCTCCCCAGGAGGATACCAAGGTCAACGGTATCAAAGGTGGCTGAGATGTCAAGGAAGACCAACAAGGACGTTTTGCCACCACCAGCCTCCCTCAATAGGTCTTCTAGCAAATTGAACAGTGCCGTTTCCGTGCCGTGACACAGCCTGACTGAAACTGATCCAGAGCGTTGATTTCATCCAATAGACCTTGAAGTTGGTGAGCCACCACCCTCTCGACCACCTTGCTAAGAAAAGAAACATTGGCAACGGGTCTGTAATTGCCAGTACTGTCTCCCACCAAGATTGGTTCCTTATTTATGGGCCTAATGAGTATCTCCTTGAGGGCAAAAGGAAACACGCCCTTCTGGAGATCTTAGGTCTGACCCAGTGTAGCTCTTCTGATCCTCTCATTTTCAGATTGAGTTCCTCCCTCCACTACGTAAATTACTGCACATTTATCTCTTAGCCTGACCTATCTTTGAGACTTATTCTAAAGATAAAACTGAATGTGGGGGGAAAAAACCATGAATTCTGGCTTGTGTTCTTTGGTCCAAAGTCAGAATATAAGTGTAATAAAAACAAGATTCCTACATGAATCACCATTTTAAATAATAAGGAAAACAAATGATCAAGGTACTCCAGATGTTTTAAATATAATTATTATTGCTGCTACAGTTTTGCTTGCACTTGTCTTATTCTTGAAAGCAAACAAAAGTGCTGCTTGTGCATAAATATGACAATTTATTTTTTAAAAAAAGAAATAGCATATGTTGGGGAAAATACATACTGAGATTCATTTCTCAGGGCATGTATGAAATGGTAAAGCCCAGTGGCTCAAGTGGCTATTCTCTTGTAATTAGACAGGAAAGAATCCTGTTGCATTTTTATATATCGGGAACAATTTCACTAGTAGTTTTTGTGTTTTGGTGGTTGCCCAATATGCAGCTAGTTGTGTGATTTACTGTACAGCCAGAGCACAGCTTGCTGCACCACAAAGAGTGAAACAGATAACTCAGAATGCACAATCGTATTTGTTATTCAGGTTCTGCTTTTAGGGTACACTAGACAAATGGCACACGGATTGGACTGGCTTACAGTTATGTTGCCTATGGACTGAATTACCAACCTGTGGAATAGCCTCTTCAAATTAATTGCACCTATGAGTATTCTCAGATATCTCTGGTTACATCTTTTGCCCACTGTGGTGAGCAAGTTCATTTTCAACATAAACCAACAAGATTCTGGCCAAAATGTACTGTGCAACAGCATACAAGCCCCTTTCCCTGGAAAAGCAAGCCACAATTCTTGAAGGGAATTTCCTCTAAGCTAGGTGTGTGTGTGAGCAACTTAGAAGAAAATTGTGTGTGGGTGGTGTTATACATCAAAACAATAGTAGCTGTAACCTTAGGTTAATTTTTAAATCTCTAAAACAGCAGGCCACAAATTAAGAGCCAGCTGGAAACAAAAGGACCTTTATATCAGACCCTTTGAGTCTGATATACCATGGAAGCACTTAACTGGGACTTTCTACCAGGGTACTGATTTTGTCTTGCAAACTTATGCACACTTACCTTTATACTATAAAACATCTAATCACCGAGACAACTCCCGAGTAACCACGCAGGAATGGCTTGCCTCTTAAGCTACAATCCTCTGCGCACTTACCTACTCCTAAACCCCAATGAATTAAATAAAATTTACTTCTGAGCAGACATACTTAGGATTGCATTGTTTCTCTCCAGGGCATGATCCGCAGAGGAGGACGTCTTTAAGAGCAGTGAGGTAGAAAGCATCCAACCAATGCCTCATCACACAGGCTTTTAACATCCCAGCTCGCGCGGATGGGATCTGTAGTCCCACAACCCATGGCGAGCCTTGCCTTGGAAGCCAACTTGGCCTCTCCAGCGGTTCTTCCTTCGTCTTTATGGTTGGAACCCGCGAAGGGGGCGGGGCATAGGCAAAAAAGCACGCGGCGGGCCGGGGTCACGTGCTCAAAAGGCCGTCCCAGCCATACGGGATGGGAGCCCAGCGTCCAAAGTATCGCGAGAATATCTCTTGTCGGTATTGTTTTCTCTCTTCCCCCCCTTCCGCCCCTTGGTCCGTTTCCTCCGCGCGTGCGCCTCACAAGATCTCGCGCTGGGCGCGTGGCTATGACTGAAATCTCGCGTGAGTAGCGGCTTCCTTTTCCTCTCGGAGCCCTCAAGATGGTAGGTAGAGGAGCGCCGCTTCTGTGTGGAGAGAGATTGCGGGGTGGGAGGGAGAGACGGCGACGGTTCGTCGCGTGGCCTCCTCACCTCACGGGACGGAAGGCCCGAATGGGTCTTCCTGTGAGGCGAGACCTGGCATCCCCCGGTCTGTCCTTTCCGGGGAGGAAGGGAATTGGAGGGGGGGGGCTCGCCGCAGGGGCACGAAACCTCTTCTCCCCGCTTTTGGACGGGTGTGTGTGTGTGTGGGCGGGAAGGAGAGATTTTTTTCCCAGCGGGAGAGAAGAAAACTGTTCAGGCCACACAGGCCGCGTGGCGAAGTCCAGCGTGGCGCGCAGGTTGGAGCCCTGGGCCAGCCGTGCGGGAGGCTCGAGGATCCCGCCCTCCTCACGGGTCACCGGGGCCCGTCGTGGCTTCCTCAACCCTTTCTCCTTGGCTTTGCCTGATCCCCGGTGCTTCTGCTGGAATTGTTGCCCTGGAGTGGTCGCAATGACCAGATAGGCGGGGTATAAATAGAATAAATAAAATTAAATTAAATTTTATCGAGTCGGAACTGACTCCCCGCGACCCTAAGTGAGGTCCTTGAGGAATAGTTTTGCTAGTTTCATCCCATGAGCTTCCGTGGCAAGAGCCAATATTCGAACCCAGCTCTCCTGAGTCCTAGTTCCATCACTCTGTCCACTTCACAGTGGATACTTTTTGCTGGAATATAGGATGGGGAAGCTTTCTCTCCCCACCATTCATAATTTGGTCAGCCTTTGTTGTTTCCTTCATCCCCTTTCCTTTCCAAAACCACCACGTAGTTTTCCCTTAGGTGGTCCATTCCTGTGATTTGGTTGCCCTTTCCTAGTTCTTCTCAGTGCCTGTGAAAATGGGGGCGGGGAGAGATGCTGTTCTTAAAGGAAAAAGGAGAGGCTTAAGACCTAACAAGTTTTATGTAGTGTATGTGGATCACAGCCTGCTTACTCAGTAGCTTAAGAAATATGTTTAATGACTGCTTTTGTAGTTTCAAACATGCTTTTTTCTGTTTATGCCATTGTCTTGGCAGTGTGTACCTGAGACTGAGAAACATTTAAAATTGAATTGCTGAGCTAGTGAAAACTCCATTGACCATTTATACATAACCTAAATTTTTATTAATAAATAAGCATCATTATCATGTTCTGCCAAGTCAATTCTGATTTATGGTAACCCTTTTTCAGGGTGTTCCAGAATACAGTGGTGCCTCGCTTAGCGATGTTAATCGGTGCAGCAAAAATAGCTGCTAAGCGATTTCATCACTAAGCAATTTTTAAAAGCCCATAGAAACGCATTAAAACGTGTTTAATGCGCTCCTATGGGTTTAAAAACTAACCTTATGCGAAAATCCTCCATTGCGGTGGCCATTTTCGGTGTCTCTAAAGCGAGGCAAAACAGCAGGCAGCCATTTTGGAACCGCTGATCAGCTGGCCGAAAATGGGGGCTTTGCGATGATCACTTCCCTGCAATCACCGCAAAGCGAATTTTCCCCATAGGGACCATCGCAAAGCGATCGCTTTTGCGATAGCAAAAAGTCCATCGCAAAGCGATTTCATCGCTATACGGAGCGATCGCTATGCAAGGCACCACTGTACACAGAAGTGGTTTGCCATTGTTTTCTTCTGGGAGCATCCTGGGACTGTGAAGCTTGCCCAAGGCAACACATGCTTGCTCTTCCCAGGATGCACACTGAAGAATCAAACTCCCAACCTTTTTTGCTCCATAGCCAGATCCCTAAAGCATGACCTATCCAATCAAGCTGTTTAATAGCTGTATCCAAAGGACATTTCCCTCAATGATCTTGTAGTGATATATCTGCCATACTTACATTACATTTTCAAACCTGCACTTAAGACAACTTCAATGTACAGATAACATATAAAATGGCAATGTATGGGCTTTTGTTACATTTTTATAATGTATTTCATTTGTTTTTTCTTTTTCTTCCAAGGACTTCAAAGTGGTGAACATGGTTCCTCTTGCTCCGTATGGCTAAGAGCATATTCATATATATGTAATGTGATTCCTTTGTGTAACTGCTAATGTCAGACATGGGGTCATATTTTTAGAGCATTGGTTCCCAACGTTGAATCCCCAGGTGTTCTTGGACTACAACTCCCAGAAATCCTGGCCAGCACATAGTGATGAAGGCTTCTGGGAGTTTTAGTCCAAGAACATCGGGGGACCCAAAGTTGGGAACCAGTGCTTTATAGTAATGAACTTCACTGTGTATCCTTGAGCCTTGTCACAATCTACCAACTGAATCTACCACACATACAATTTTTTCTGAGGATTAAATGGATAGAGAATAATTACACTATTAGAGGGGAACTAAAAAGAGCTAGTACATTTGAAATTAATCATATACAGTGGGGTCTTGACTTGAGAACTTAATCCGTATTGGAAGGCGGTTCTCAAGTCAAAAAGTTCTCAGGTCAAATCTGCATTTCCCATAGGAATGCATTGAAAACCATTTGATCCGTATCTGCTCTTTTCCGTCCATAGAAACTAATGGGAAGCTGCTATTCCGCCTTCGACCACTAGAGGGGGATATTTTGTTTCTTTTTTTCTTAGGTCAAGAAAGGTTCAGGGAAGGCAGGGAAAATACAGTCCAGGCAGTACAGTACCAAGCAGTCTGAAGACTGTCTCCCAATCCACTCTCTAAACGCTGGGAGGAGTGAGGAAGCAGACAGGCACCCTTTTCACTGGCCAACAGTTAACTGAAAGTTCACATTTTGCACTTTCCCTGCCTCCCACGTGGGTTTTTTTCAGTTCTTAACTCAAATCTAAGTACTTAAGTCAAGTCAATATTTTCCTATGAGAGCGGTTCTTAAGTCAAAATGTTCTTAACTCAAGCCGTTCTTACGTCAAGACCCCACTGTACCTGTAGTTCAGAATACAACAGACAAAATACCAGCATGCTCACTAAAGTGAGGCTGGGCCCATAAACAGCAAACTAAGGTGGCAGGACCTCATGAATACTTTCCAAAGAGTTTTTAACTTTGAATCTTGCTGTGCCTGGTCTTCTGTGATTGTGTGTATGATTGACTTTTTTTTCCCATTAAGCCTTCAAGATTGAGGAAGACCAGGAAGCTGCGGGGACATGTCAGCCATGGGCATGGCCGTATTGGTATGTGTAGAAGGCAGCCTACCTGCTTTTAGATTACTTGGTCTATTGCTGTTTCATGTTGTCGTAGCACCTTCTGCTTGGTTATCAGATGACTTAAACTTAAGAGATAAAGCAGACAAATGTGCTTGCAATTACTAGTTTTAGTTTTCCACCATTACCATTTTAAATTCTTCAATGTAGGTTCATTGCTTTGCTAAAATGAGTTTAGCCTGGGCCACTGAATTTACAGAAGCTTCTGAAGTCTGTCCTTTTAGGTCTTTTTCAATAATCCATCCTGTGTCCTCCTGCGCACCCTCCCTGCCCCATTTAGGGTGACACTGCTAATTCAGAGTAATTGCTGCATCATTTTATAATATTTGTTTTTCTCTTAGGCAAGCATAGAAAACATCCTGGAGGACGTGGTAATGCTGGGGGCATGCACCACCACAGAATCAATTTTGACAAATAGTAAGCAGTTTTTCTTTTCTCCCCATCTGATCATTTCTTCTGCCTTCTCATCCCTCAGAAGTAGATTATTAAGACTTTGTTCAGTGATGACATTTTTATTGAACTATAGAGAAAAACTGTTGTTAAAACTAACAAAATAATCCTGTGACTCAGCAGCCACTAGTAGATAGCTTGATGTTACATATATTTAATACACAAAAAGGTTTTACAGCATTGAAGTCACTGGAAATTCATATCTATGTGATTCATAGTGCGTTTACTTGACTAAGTCTAAATCAGAAACTTTAGCAGGTTGAAAATGCCACAACCAGATTTTTAACTGGAGCTGTTCACAGGCATCCTATAACTCCCATCACAACAGCTCTACTGGCTGTCAGTCCATTTTGGGACACAATTCAAAATACTGGTTTTGACCTATAAAAAAACTAAGCAACTTGAGCCTAAGCTGTCTAAAAGACCACATTTCCACTTATAAGTCTGCCTGAGTTTAAAACCACAGGGGAAGCTTTTCTCTTGGTCCCATCACCCTCACAAGTGTGTTAGTGGGGACCTGAGAGAGGAGCCTTATCGATCCCTGCTTCCAAACTGTAGAACTCCCTCCTATGGGAGGCTATGCTGGCCTCCCGTTTGCTCTCCTTCTACAAGCAGGCAGACTTCAGGCAGGCTTTTTCTCAGTAACTAGCTGCCTAAGAGGGAGATGTTAAAATGCGGATTTTAAAATGCATTTTAGAATGGTGTTAAACAGTTTTTATCCACTACTTTTTAACTTAATATTTGTTTAATATTCTAATTGTGTAATTAATATTTGTTTCAACATTGTAATTGTAGTTTTTAAAAACATTTTTAATATTGTAAGCCTGCTTGGATCCTTGAGGAGAAAGATGGGGTATAAATGTTTTTTAAAAATTAATAATAAATAAATGCTACAACATAACCGCCTAGAGTGATCGCAAGACCAGATGGGCAGGATACAAATCAAATCAAAGGATCCCTTGTTTTACTTGCCATTGTTCATCAATTGAGTGGGATAAAGGCAGTTTGGGTTCTAGAATCTGACTAGAACAGATCCAAATTAACATGTTTCAACAGAAAATGTTCCTCTAGCGAAGGCATGGTTGCTTGTTCTTTTTTGTTTGTTTGTTTTATTTTTAATGAATCATTCAGTGATTCCTCTTCATATAGTGTGTTGTCATTCCAGCCATCCTGGTTATTTTGGAAAGGTCGGTATGAGACATTACCACTTAAAGAAGAACCAGCATTTCTGCCCCATAGTCAATCTTGACAAGCTCTGGACACTTGTTAGTGAGCAGACCAGGCTCAAGTATGCCAAGCACCCAGCTGGGTTAGTGCCAGTTATTGATGTTGTACGATCTGTAAGTATCATTAAGATTTGTCTTTTTGACCTGTCCCTTTCAGTCATTCAGTGGCTATATCTAAATATTTGTAAACATATCTACAGTGGTGCCTCGCACAACGAGTGCCCTGTAGAGCGATGAATTCGCTCTACGGTGACGCTTTTGCGATCGCCAATGCAATCGCAGAGCGATGCCCCCAATGGGCGAAAATCGCAGAGCGAAGGTCGGTAAGCAGTTCGCTTACCGACCTTCACTTTGTGACCCGCCGATCAGCTGTTCCGCGGCTTCAAAATGGCCGCTGGAACAGCCGAAAGGGCCGGGCACAGCGTTTTCACGCCCTTGGTAAGCAAGGGGAGGGCGCAAAAACGCTGCCGGAACAGCTGAAATGGCTGCGCGCAGCGTTTTCGCGCCCTCCCCTCGCTTACCAAGGGCGCGAAAACGCTGCGGCCGGCCATTTCGCCTGTTCCGGTGGCCATTTTGGACCCGCCGGACAGCTGATGGCAGCCATTTTCGCACCCTCATTCAGCGAGGGGAGGGCGCGAAAATGGCTGCCGGCCATCGGAGAAACATCGCTGAACGGTGAGTACAGCAGCCGATTGGAACACATTAAACACTGTTTAATGCGTTCCAATGGGCTTTTCTACCCCGCTCAGCGATGTTTCACACAGCGAGGGTTAATCCAGGACGGATTAACCTTGCTGTGTGAGGCACCACTGTATATACCTCCTGATATTTTAAGATGGGGTGAACAATGTTTGAGAAGTTAAATCGACTTTTACATGAAATTAGAATTGATTGGGGTTGCGGTGGAAAGATTTAGGGTAGCAAAATAGGCATTTTTGGATTAGGGACTCAGAAAGCCGCAAAAACCACTTTGAACACACATGGTTCCCAACCCCTTTTTAAAAGCTTGGAGATATCTGTAGAGTCTTCTTGGGTCAGAAGTTGTATAAGCACAAAATTACTTATTCTCTGTGAGCTGTCAAGTAGGCATTTTTCAAGAATTGTAAAGGTTTTAATATCAAGCAGCTCTTATACTTTGCTGTGAGAATTGTTTCTTGTTCCCATGTTATCTGAGGTTTAAGTTTTCAGGCCCCAAAGAAATGCTGTGGGTTTTTCTAGCTGAGACTTTATAGTGTTTCACTGTATGTTACATTGATACACTGCAGCACTGGAGTCTAGATAAAAGTGTAGACCAGTGGTGATGAACCTTTTTGGGCTCGTGCACTGAAACTGGGGG